GACCACAGAGCCAATTTCCCAGCTAGCGGATTGTGGTGGACCCAAGGCCACAAATGGCCAGTTTCACCAAAGGGTGATCATGGGATACCAAATCGAAGGCTTTTTTTAAGTCAAGATATATGACATCAATCTCTTCTCCCTTGTCCAGGTAATAGGTTCTGTAGGCTGGATCACTATTACATCATTCTGTTGCCTGGAAAAAGCTATGCATGTCATGTTTTTCAGCACAGAGCTGGATCTCTCTGGCTTTATCTTCCCATCACTGTTTTTTTTGATTTCCAGGATCCTCCTCTGAGCTTCAGCTTCCAATTCTGCTGAGACAAGGTGTCATCTTGCCAAGCATAATGACCCCTTCTTTTCTGATTGAGGAGGGCTTGGTTCTCAGTGTTGCTCTCACTGAACCTGTTTTGGTGTATACAGGTGACTTAGCCAATGGAGTCAGCATAGGCCGTATAGACAGCAGTTTTAAACCCCTTCCAGAGTTCCTCCATATTGTCTTAATTTATGGACAGGGCAAGAGCTTTTCACGGAGGCACTGGTGGAGATCATGACAGACCTTTTGGGTCTTGAAGAGATTTGGTGTTGAGAATCCTGAACATTGCTTTTGGCTGTTTTTGGTGTTTTGGAACAAGCTAGATGCTCATAATGGATATGACAAGACAGTGATCTGACCAACAGCCATCAGTTCCTTGTATGGCTCGCATGATATGGCCATCCATTGGGCTCTAACAATAACCTAGTCAAGGAGGTGCCAGTGCTTAGAGCAAGGGTGTTTCTAGGTAGTCTTATACTTGTCACTCTGTCTGAAGATGGTGTGATCTGCACTTTTGCTTAAGAAAAGGATACCATTGATGCATCCACAGATGCATCTCAAGCAGGTCCAGGGAGGTGATCCTCCCCCTCTATGCGGCACTGGTCAGGCTGCAGCTGGAGTACGGCATTCAGTTCTCAGCTCTGCACTTCAAGAGGGATGTGGACAACATGGAGAGGGGCTAGAGGGGGGCCACTTGCATGATCAGGGGGCAGCAGGGCAGGCCCTATGAAGAGAGGCTATGGGACCTGAACCTGTTCAGCCTCCACAAGAGAAGGCTGAAGGGGGATCTAGTGGCCTGTTACAAACTAGTCAGGGGGGACCAGGAGGCATTGGGGGAGTCCCTGTTTCCTCGAGCACAGCCAGGAGTGACTAGGAATAACGGTCACAAGCTGGCAGAGGGTAGATTCAGATTAGACATCAGGAGGCGCTACTTTACTGTCAGGGCGGCTAGGATCTGGAACCAACTTCCAAGCGAAGTGGTGCTGGCTCCTACCCTAGGGGTCTTTAAGACAAGGCTAGACAATCACCTTGCTGGGGTCGTTTGACCACAGTACTCTTTCCTCCCATGCCAGGGGGTCAGACTTGATGATCTGCTCAGGTCCCTTCCGACCCTACTAACTATGAAACTATAGGAGAAGGATACTCTCTTTTCTCTGCTGAGCTTCTTCCAGTTGTCTTGTTTCACTCAGAGCTGCAATGTTGATGTTGTATCTCACTAGTTTCCTGGAGACAGTGGCAGTTCTTTCTGGTCATTCATTGTCTTGGCTAACTATCAAGGTGCAAATGTTCTACATTGCAAAAATCATTATCTTCTTATGATGCTTTCGACCACAGAAAGTGATCTGGCTGCATGCAGTTATCCAGCCAGGAACACATGAGACAGCCTAGATGTATGGCACCTTTTCTGGCTCCTTCCCCATGTGAGGTGAGCAGAGGGGATCCTGGATAGGACTTCTCAGTCAGGGTAGCAGCTGCTGAATTACACCCTTGTCTCAGCCCAGGTGCAAAACAATTAGGCTTCTGCCGCCTGCATGCAGATTTGTGGCTGGAGACTGCTGGATTCACTAGTTCTGTCTTCGTCACCTCTGGTCCATCATTGCAGGGATTTTGGAGGTTGGCACAGGAAAGTGTATTGTTTCCTGTGGTAGAAGCCTATGCACAACTTTGTTTAAAACGAGAAAGGTGATGTACAAAAACCGCAACTGTGGGCCAAAACCTTGTGGAGAGGTTTGTGTGTCTCGGTGATCCTTGGAGTTATCTTGTCCAGAGTCTCTCACACCTGGGACAGTTACCCATGGCCTGAAGGGAGGTGGTAGACAAAGCATGGTCCAACCCCAAATTCTCAACAGCAGATCAGGTGGAAGATGATGTCAGGATCTCAGCAGCTTTAAAGACAGAAGAAGGCTGCAGCAAGATGGAGGTCTCATGTTGTTTAGTGTTCTCCTTTGCTAATGGACACAGATCTCGACCTTGTAAGATCATGCAACACTTGTAGATGCTTAAGTATTAAGAGCTTCATTGGAAGGTGGCGTGTGAAGGCAATAGAGCTAAGAAGAAACAATGTTCAGACACAGTTTCTTGTACAGCCATGGGTCCCTATATGACAGTCTTGTGACATAGACAAGGGGCTTTCTGGCTACGTGCTGGAGATGCTGGAGGACCCAACAGGCTGAGTGCCCTTATAAAAGGATGGTATGATTAAGTGAATGATTTGATTAGGGCCTATGGCGAGTCTTGAGCGTGTGGAAGAAATGTGAAAGCTGAGAACTGAAGAGGGAAGGTGGGCAGGGCCCAAACCACTTTCTGAAGCTTGCTGCATTGAAATAAGTGAGCAGACAGATTTTCCACCTATTGGCCTGCCAGCCCTGAACAAGGGAGACTAGCGTGAGAAGATGGGAGGGTACTGGTTCTGTTCTGAGGCTGCCAAAGCGAGTTACAGTGGGAAGTTTTTCATGCTGCTCCTGGGAGCTAAGCTGAGACTATCATAGATAGGCAACTAATTGTGATGTATGAAATACATTCACTCAAACTGGCATTTTAAGTTGACGATATTAAACGATGCACTTTGCTGACTTCCAGGTTGTGTTAACCTTGTGGTCCAAATGTTGTTACACTAGTTTGTTTAATTTTGACTTGTTGGGCATCCATCCAAACAGTCTCAGTACCCTTGGTATCACTTAAATCAGGGGTGGGTAAAATACGGCCCGCGGGCCAGATGCGGCCCACCAAGCACTTCCCTCCGGCTCGTGGAGCCCCTTCAAAACCCATGTAATGGCAGCTGCCTCTCTAAAAGCCTCCAGCGACACCAGCCGTCAGCCACAACATCCCAGGCTGTTTACTTGGGTTCTGGTTACGAGGCAACCAACCCAGACCTCAGCCTGCCCCAGCTGGCCTCCGCCACCCCTGGCTCAGGCCACGTTTGCAGCTTGAGAGGAGCAGGGAAGCTGGGCCTGTGGTGCCGGTGAGGGGAAAGAGTGTCTGGGCCAGGTGCTGTTTTGCTGCACGGAACTGGAAAGGGTCCTGCCCTCTAGGTAAGCCCAGGAAAGCGGCTGCTGGGCAGGCTTTCCGTGTGCTGTGCTGCTCGGGCTGTGCAGGGTCGGGCTGGGCCAGCACTGGGGAGGGGAAGTAGCAGCTGGGCCACAGCTCCAGTCCAGTCAGCACCAGGGGGGAGAGGTGGTGGCAGAGCCATGTGCCGCTCAGGACAGGGCGAGCCCAGCCAGAGCGGCAGGGGCTCAGCTGCACTTTCCTCTTGCCTGTGCTGGTCAGTCCTTAGTGGCACACGGCTCTGCCATCGCTTCTGCCAGCCAGTGCAGACCTGGCCAGGCTCGCCCCATTCCCAGCAGCACATGGGAAGCTGGCTTCAGCTGCATGCTGCTCTGGATGGGATGTGCCCGGCTGGGTCTGCACCGGCCAGCAGAAGCGGTGGCGGAGTCATGTGCTGCTCGTGTCTGACCAGCGCAGGCAGGAGAAAACTGCAGCTGAGTCCCTGCCGCTCCGGCTGGGCTTGTCCCGTCCTGTCCCGAGCGGCACACGGCTCCACCGCTGCTTCTGCTGGCCGGTGCCGACCCGGCCGGGCTCCTCCCGTCCCCAGCAGCACGTGGGAAGCCGACTTCAGCTGCATACTGCTTTTTCCAGCCAGTGCAGACCCGGCTGGGTCCGTCCCATCCGGAGCAGCATGTGGCTGAAGCCAGCTTCCCACATGCTGCTGGGGACGGGGTGAGCCCAGCTGGGTCAGCACTGGCCTGCAGAAGTGGCGACGGAGCCTCCTGCCTTTTGGGACCAGCTGGCACAAGTTGGGGGGAAAGTGCAGCAGCAGCTGGGGAAGCCACCATTCGGATAGGGGACGGGATGGGCTGGCCAGGCCCCACCGGGGAGAGAAAGCTGTGGCTGAGCCCCCTGCGGCTTGGGACAGGAGGGGTCCTACAGCACTGGAGGGTGCTGTGCTGGTGAGGGGCCATGTACTGTGTGGGTGGGCCCTGGTGTTGTGCAGTGTTTCCCAGTCAAGGGGTACACCTTCTGATGTCAGGGATCATGTGATGAGGGCAGGGGATTCTGGGACAGATATGGCAAGCGGGGCAGTTTCGTGTTGTTTGGGTAAGTCTTATGACACAGACCATACGACAGGGTGTAACTTTTGGTTCCAAGGCCACCTCTCCAAAAGGAGTACTTCCAGGGGCAAGGGGAGGAACTTCTGGCAGCAAAGGTCAGGGGTTGGGACTTCTGGTCCCAAGATGGTGACCAGTGGGTGGGGCAATGGAAGGGGTGGGGCTACCCTTGTGGACCTCGACACCTTGCCAAAACTCATCAAGCAGTCCTCCACCTGAAATAGTTGCCCGCCCCTGACTTAAATTGCTTCACTTAAGTTGCTTTAAAGTTTAATTGCATATCCCATTACAGGTACATACAGTCACCATTCTCTTTCACACGGCTGGGGAAATTAAGCCTCATTTGCTGCTGAACCAAAGGACTGAATGTTGACTTGATTTCCCCTTTTAGATTGACAGCAGGGCCTTAAACTTAAAGTGGTTCTGATAGGGCACAGAGAAGTCAGTGACCCCATCTGATATGTTCCCTTTCCCATTGCAGATAGAAAGGCATGACAACTGTGCCTATGACTACCTGGAAATCCGAGATGGCCCCACTGAGGACAGCATGCTGATTGGTCACTTCTGTGGTTATGAGAAGCCAGAAGATATCAAGTCCAGCTCAAATAAAATGTGGATGAAGTTTGCATCTGATGGGTCTATCAATAAAGCAGGATTTGCAGCAACTTTCTTTAAAGGTATGAATTATGCTACTAGCCCCAAGACACTTTCATTAGGGTGAAATCTCCCAATTACAAATGTGTAGACTTCTCTGCAGTGGTTACCTGAGGGGGGCAGTTGCAAGCAGGGTAGCCTGCAGACAAAGATCAACTGGAAGTAGACTATATAGACCTTTGCTGGCTTACCTCCTTCATAAAGGGAATATAGAGGGTATAGGTTATGCCCTCTCTCTTTTAAACTCACTAAATATAGCCTACAGCTTTCAGGCTACTAGCCATTGCAGCCTGAGCTGGCTAAATATGGGGCTATTCCTTGTCTATACCAAGATGTAATGGAGTATGTGTATTGCAATCTTTGGAGGAAGCCAGGAAGACCAACATGAAACATACAAAACAACTTTTGCTTAAATAAAACTTGCATTCAAGTGTAGATTGAAATATATACCATACAAGAACCCAAGAGGCCAGCTTTGAGACTTGAAAAGGAAATAAACTCATGGGCAGCTGTTGTGAGTAGGGTTGTGAGCCCAGTGGACATTCAGTTGCAGAAGTAGGACTTGCTGTTAGACATGGGGTCCACAAATGAGAAGTTAGAGAACTGCTTTAAATAGTAAATTTGCAAGGGCTAAATTTTTCAGTTGACTTCAACCTAGAAATTCTGATCAGTCAGATGATTCTTTATTATTAACCTTTAAATTAAAGTTAGAGTGGTCCTGAATAGTATAGGTTTCATAGACATTAGGGGCTGGAAGGGACTTTGCAAGATCGAGTCCAGCCTCCCTGCCATAGGCAGGAGGTCTGCTGGGGTTAAATGATCCCAGCAAGATAAGCATCAAAACACCTTTTGAACGAGTCCAGAGTAAGTGCTTGCACCACCCCTGTGGGGAGTCTGTTCCAGACCGCAGACATTCAGACTGTAAAGAAGTTTTTCCTTATGTCCAGTCTAAATTGGCCTTTCAGAAGTTTGTGGCCATTAAACCTTGTTATCCCTTGGGGAGCCCTGGTGAACAACTGTTCTCCCAGATCCTGGTGCACACCCCTTATACACCTATAGGTTTCCACCAAGTCCCAGGCTGAAGAGTCCCGTGTCCCTCAGCCTCTCCTCCATAAGGCTTGCTCTCTTGGCCTTTGATCATGCAGGTGGCTCTCCTTTGGACTCTCTCAAGCTTATCCACATCCCTTCTGAAGCCGGGGCCCAAAACTGTACACAATACTCTAGCTGCGGCCTCACCAAAGCTGAGTAAAGTGGGAGGATGATGTCCCTGGTTTTGCTTGAGGTGCATCGGTGGATACATGGCAGGGTTTGCTTTGCTTTGCTTTGCTGGCTACATTATCGCATTGGTGGCTCATGTTCATCTTGTGGTCAATCAAGACCCCCAAGTCTCTTTTGGTCATGTTGCTAGTGAGCATAGCACTGCTGAGTCTGTAAGTATGATGCTGGTTTTTCTGCCCAAGGTGGAGCACCCTGCACTTCTCTACATTGAACACCATCAGGTTTTGGTCCACCCAACTTGTGAGCTTGTCCAGGTTGGCCTGTATCCCCAGCCTGTCTTCGAGCGTGACTTCCTTTCCCCATAGTTTAGTGTCATCCACAAACTTGGCCAGCCTGCATCTAATGCCCGAATCCAGATCATTAATGAAAATGTTGATGAGTACTGGCCTGAGTACTGAACCCTGAGGGACACCACTGGTTGCCTTGTGCCATGTTGATTTGCTCCCATCAACTAATACTCTTTGGGTCTGATTCCAGAGCCAGTTCTCCAGCCATTGGACTGTGAGATGGTTGAGGCTGCAGTTTTCCAGCTTAACCATGAGGACATCATGGGAGACCAAATCAAAGGCTTTCTTGAAATCCAGATATATGACATCAACCTTGTCTCCCTTGTCCAGGTAGTGCATCATCTGGTTATAGAAGGAAACGAGGTTGGTCAGGCAAGACCTTTCAGCAACAAAGACCTTGGCTGGCACTCAGAAAGTTGCCTTTCATTAGCCCATTGCTGATGGAACCCTCGATGATTTTCTCCAGGATCTTTCCAGGGATGGATGCCATACTGATTGGCCTGTAATTCCCTGGATCTTCCTTCCTTCCTTTCTTGAAGATTGGGATCACGTTGGCTCTCTACCAGTCTTCCAGTACCTCTCCTGAGCACCATGAGTTCTCAAATATCTTCGCTGTAGGGTGTGCTATGATGTCCATCAGCTCCTTCAGGACTTTTGGGTGAATTCTGTCTGGGCCCATGGACTTACGGACATTAAGCCTCTCAGTGTGTTCCCTCACTTGATCTACATCAATTGTGGGTCCATCTCCCACCCCCTGGATGCTTTGTGTCCTGTCTGACAGGGTGACCTCCGTGGGTGAGTGGAAGACTGATGCAAAGTAATCGTTTAAGAGATTGGCCTTTTCCTGAGCATCAGACGTCAACTGCCCCATTTGATCTAGCAGGGGTCCAATGTTGCCTTTGTTCTTTCTCTGACTTCTCACATATCTGAAGAAGGACTTTTTGATGTCCTTGATTCCCATGGCTAGCCTGAGTTCAGTTTCTGCCTTGGCTTTTCTGGTCTGCTCTCTACAGATGTGGGCTACTGCTGTGTAGTCCTCTTTGGTGATGATTCCCATTTTCCATCTGGTGTAGACTTCTCTTTTTAGTTTCAGGAGGTCCAAAAGTTCCCTACTGAGCCAAAGCAGGGTTATTCCTGCTGGGGTTTTCCTAACCTTGTGGCAGGACTTTGAGAGAGACTGCATCATCAGGAACGTCCCCACCCATTAAATCAATGTTGCAATAACATTTACTGTAGTGTACATTAATGACTTTGCCCATTAAAGGAAATGACTGAAACCAGGCAGCTGGTTTTAATGTCAATAAATTACTCGTGCCTATTAATACGTTAAGGGGTGTTTAAAATCTGATCAAAAGAGCCATGTTTCAGAAGCTCAAGTTGGTGGCAAATGTGAATAACAATGGGAAGTCCTATCAGCGTGGTTCCCTGGTTCATTAGAACAGCTGCCACACCCTTTTATAACCCATTCTATGTTGTCCTTCCACCTCCAGCTAGTTCCCAGGGCCCAGCCACAATGGGCATCTCACAAGGCTAGTCAGGGCAAGGAACTGCAACCAGGAGAAAAGAAATTGGGAGCATAATTGTAACTGATGGCAAAATGTAGCATTGCAAGAAAATGCCTCACTTCCCTATCTACCCATGAGAATGACAGGGCCACTTCAGTACCTGTGGGCTTAGTAAGACTGCTGCAGTACCTGTTGGCCAGCATTATGTCCACCAATTTTATGCTACTGAATTGATGTTTGTTTGATTCTTTTAGCAACTGCCTAACTGCCAGGGTCACATCAAGGCCTGCTCATCTGGCAAGGCCTCTTTCAGAGGTTGCTTTCTTCAATCAAACGTTGCCTTGAAAAATGAAGGAACTTAATTTAAAAAGCTTAAATTATTGCATTTTATTTCCTAACAGAGGTGGATGAATGTTCTCGGCCAGACAATGGCGGGTGTGAACAGCGCTGTGTGAACACACTGGGCAGCTACAAGTGCGCCTGTGAACCTGGCTATGAGCTGACAGCTGACAAGAAGAGCTGCGAGGGTTGGTAGTCTGTCGAGCTGGGCATGTCAGAGGGGAGGGCACTGCTTTTTACGATAACAGGTCAGGTTTGGGGGGAGGCATGAAATCTTTGTGGAAATGCTGATGCAAACAAAGATTTGGTGTTCATCAGAGTGTTCTATGAAAAATGATTGAAGTTTTGGTGAACAACTGAAGCTAGAAGCTTTTACCATATTTTTCTTGCGTACCCCCCCCCACCGAGGCTTAAGCCTCCATCTTCCACGGCC